AATACATTAAATTTTTTCATTGTCAATTTGCTTTAGATTATAATAGTAATATTTAATTTTAATATATTTATTTCATGAAAAAGAGATATCACTTAACATTGGTACTAAATCATTGGTGATTCTATAACATTTATCATATCGACACTTATTATTAACATTTTAATCTACTTTTTTATTGCAGCCTTTGCAAACATAGAACCACTACTCAACTCTATTATAAATGGTAGTTATTGTTACCTTAAAGATGCAATAGTGTGTCTGTATATTAGTAATTATTCTTAGGTTTAATTATATGAATTTTAGAGTAGGTTTTCTAAGATCATACCTCTTTCAAATGTTATAATGGTTGTATATATTAGTAATTTGAATTTTTGTTGTATTTATAAAGAGCATTAATGGAGATGTTTTTATCTTGGCAGCTTACTCTAAAAGAACGCTGCATATTAGCTTTAAAATATAATACTCTTTTCTTTACGGTGTTATATGGATGTTTACTTGGTTTATTTACTATTCTCTTATTTTTTTCTGTAAGTTATATCTTTGGATTGATATATATATTATTGACGTAATTTACGATGACATGCATATCTCCTCTATAAATTTGAGACATATATAAGGTGATTTTTTTTATATTTAGTGGCCTTTAATAAGAATTTTACTAATGAAATATACTACATTCATACTTAGAGATCTTGAATTCTAATAGCACTATTATATCATTATCTTTGATAGTGTCTTTAAGAATTGATCCTTCATTAGTAGTCATACCCCTAAATAAAGTCACACGCAAGGTCGTAATACTATATAAGAAAAAAAAGGCCGATTTTATATTTTTTACTTATGCAAAGTATAGTAACTTTTCTTTTATCTTCTATGAAGAATGTTTCTTTGATGAGCACAAAGTTGTTCAATATATTCTTGAGGGAGTATTCAGTTTGCGTTTCTTTGATAAATATAACTTATGTTAGTATTAATTGAAGTGATTCATGGACGTTCTGAATTCCATTTGAAATGAAAACCGCTTGATTCTTTTGAAGGATATCTCTAAATTTTCTAACAGTTCTCCATACATATATTTTTATAACTTTTTACCTAATAAATATTATTACCATTAGAGATCAATATTTATAAATTATAATAAATTATTGTTAATCTATTATATTATAGTCTTTTATCAATTGTTTGTGATTTAGTCTTCTATTAATTAATGATACTTATGTATTTTTACTGTTCTAACATATTGGTAAAATTATATGCAGTTACTTTAATTTATACAATAACATTAATTTTTAATCTATCATATATTTTTTAAATTTTTATTATTTAACTAGATATTTTAATATGTTATTATTACTATTTTTTATCAGTATCAACTTGACTATTTTCAGATTCTAAAAAGGGATTGTAAACATTAAATTATAAGTTATATTTATATATCTTAATAAAAAAAATATCACACAATTACTCTTTTCTTTGCCAAGTTCTAGATTTTTAGCTTTTTATTTTGTATAATTTTAAACTTTTGAGAGTATTTTGTCTAATTTTCAAAACTTTTTGCTTTTTTTGTAATACTTCATGCAATAAACTGATAGTACGGAGGTATTTCATATATTTTATTAATCTTATTTAAATTGTTGAGCTATAGATAGTTCATGGGGTTTTAGGATAGGATATAAGTATGATTATTGTAGATTATAATTTAAATTAAATAATTAAAATAGTACAATGTAATTTTGACTATGAAAAACTTTTTCTGAACTCGTACTTTTAAAGGGAGTATGATTTTTTATTTTCCTTAATTTTTTATATTTTTGAGAATAACTTTTGTCTCTTTAATTTATTTGGTGGATTTTGTAAATATCACATCCACATTATGTATATTTGTAGGTCTATGTTGTTCTCGGGTTCGACCTTTAGGATAGACATTATTTGTCTCATTAATTTATTTAGTTTTTGCATATACACCCTTCATTTTGTAGACATTTATAAATATGGTATTTAATAATTTTATTTAGATTTACATTTCAATTTAAATTGTATCTTTATCTTCATACTATGTATATCCAATAAGAATTCATTAATTTATCAATTTACTCTTACTTAATAGAATAATATTTGAATTTAAGCGTATTTTTGTCCAACGAAAGATTTTTCCGAATTCATGCTTTTAAAGGGAGTATGACTAGGTTTTATGCATGTATAATGCACGTGGTCAAATATCATGATTAAGTATATTTGTTTTATTTCCATACTAAAACTTGTTCCTCGGTTCCACTTTGATGGTTTTTGCTTACTTATATCTCTAAACTTTAGAATTGTGATTATTTATTTTTTTAAATATTTGTTTAAATGAACTACACTCAATTTAAATTTTTATATTGATAATTAAATTGACAGGAAATAAATGTAATCTAAAATCAATTTGAATTATCATGTCATTGAGACCAACATGAAACCAAGCTTGATCTGAGAAAATATAGCATTATAAAAGTGAAAAACACTACAAAAAAAAAACGTTCCTAAAGGAAAATGAAAAATTAAGCTCATAAGACAAGATGATTAGTTAAAAGTGGGCTAAAATGACATAAAAGATAATATGGAGTTTGTTCCTAATCCTTGATAGACTTTAAAAAATTATAAAATAAATATTAATACTAAATCTAGTATACTTTTATTAATGAAAACATCCACATAAACAAATAAAAATACTAAAAAGGTTTATGAAAACCCCTTCTAAAAATTCCTAATTTACTCCAAAAAAACCTATTCTATAAAATATTCAAAAAATAGTGTCTTCATTCCTTATGTTTTATTTTTTATTGAGACGTTATCAATCCTTCTCCACCTTTATCTTTTTCGATAAAATTAGACTACTTTAGATGCCAAAAAAAGATAGTAAAAGCTTAAAATAAAAGTTAAATTTACATATCTTAATGAAAGAATATCAAACAACTACTCTTTTTTTGCTATATTTTGAAGTTTTAGTTGCTTTTTTCGTGATTTTAAATTTTTAAGGGTTTGTCTTGCAAATTTTGAAACTTTGAGAGTGTTTTTTTAAAAAAAATTAAATTTTAAGTTGAGTGCTTGTAATTTTCATATTTCATGTGTTGGTAGTGTATTTTTTAATGTCAGAATATTTCTTGCAACTCTGAATTTTGAGGGTATTTTTTTGTAATTATTGAAACTTTAGATTATTTGTTGCAAAATTTAAATTTTTAGCGGTCTGTTAATAATTTTGAGATTTGATATGTATTGGTTATAAGTTATTAATTTTTAGTGTTTTGTGTTTTTTTTAATTTTCGAAGGAGTTTTTTAGAATTTTTATAACTTTGAGGTTATTTTTTTTTATAAAATTTAGTTTTTTAGTGTTTGATAGTAATTCCTTGAATTCGTCTTTATTGTTCGCAAGTTTTGAAAATTTAGAATTTCATAGTGCTTTTTTATTATTTGAACTTTTGATGGTGTTTTTATAGTTTTTAAAATATTAAGGTTTCATGCTTGTTGTTTTAAGTTTTGAAACGTCATGATGTTTTGTGTAATTTTATACTTTTAAGGGTGTTTTGTGTAAATTTTAAAACTTTTTGGTATTTTTTGTAATCTTCATATATTATAGCTTATTAATCTTTAAATTATTGACCTGTAAGTAGTTCACATAGGATTAGGAATCTTCATATATTATAGCTTATTAATCTTTAAATTATTGACCTGTAAGTAGTTCACATAGGATTAGGATAGGATATAATTATGATTATAATAAATTAAATTTAAATAAAATATTCAAATAGTCAAGGGTAATATTGACCATGAAAAGATTTTCCCGAACTCGTATAATTTTGAGATTTATTATGTATTAGTTAGAAGTTATTAATTTTTAGGGTTTTCTGTGTTTTTTAATTTTCAAAAGAGTTTTTTGGAATATTTATAACTTTGAGGTTATTTTTACAAATTTTAGTTTTTTAGTGTCTGATAGTAATCCCTTGAACTCGTCTTTGTTGTTCACAAGTTTTAAAATTTCAGAATTTCATAGTGCTTTGTTATTATTTGAACTTTTGAGTGTGTTTTTATAGTATTTAAAATATTGAGGGTTTCATGTTTATTGTTTTAAGTTTTGAAACGTCTGGATTACTTTTAAGGGTGTTTTGGGAAAATTTTGAAACTTTTTGGGGTTTTTTGCAATCTTTATTTATTATAGCTTATTAATCTTTAAATTGTTGACCTGTAAATAGTTCACATAGGATTTGGATAGAATATAACTATGATTATAATAAATTAAAATTTAAATAAAATATTCACTAGGAGTCTCATTTGTTTTTATATTTAAGAAGAGTTATGTAACCCCAATGGAGAATAATAAATTTTGATTAATAAAATTTCGTTTTTCGTCAATATTTACTTTGTGGATTCGAAGCTCTTCGTGGATTCGAAGACTGTCCTTAGTGAATTCCGAGGCTACAACTTCTGCGTTGCGTCATAATCGATAGGGAAAGTTTTCTTGTCATTTTGTCCGTGGGCGTAGGCTTAGGCTAAACCACATAAATATTGATGCCTCCTTTTTGTTCTTTTCTAATCTTGTTTGGGGTAGAATTGATTTTGACCTAACATGATGTCATAATAGTTTTGTGAAATTTACTGACAAAATAACAATGACCATGCTTTTTTTTTATTTTGTTGCTCTAATCCATTTTCTGATTACAAGAAAACAAGTGGAGATGGAATTAAACTTGATATCAATTGAAATTTACAGAAATTCATTTAGACTAAAAGAAAGAAATATAGTCTTAAATAAATACTGTACTGATTCACTTTTTGCTCATAATCAGAGAACAAAGGGTCTCGAAAATGGTAAATTCTTACCTTTTTCGCTAATAGTAACTAATGACAGAAAAGATCAACTGACTTGATAGCAGTTTTCATTATCCAGAAATTTATTTAGCAACCAATATTCGAACATACGCATAAAACCCGGTTTCATCCAAAAAATTCGGTCAGCATTGCGCCGCCTAAACGAACCCCACCCCTCAGCTAAGCGCTCAAATTCACCACAGGCACTCTACTATGAAAATACTCATCTGCAATAATAATTGATTTAATTCACAGAAAAAAAAGAAAATATTGAATTATATATTATTAGTTAAAGATGAGATATAGACATGAGTATGTACCTTCTAAAGTTGAACCCTCTGTTACACCTTTGTATGCCCAATCACACGCTGCAGTGATACTTTCTGATGCATATCTGCTCAATGGCATAACTAAGCTTAATTAGGGAATTTCATACATCTCTAAAAAGTAAATAACAACAACAACAACAACAACAATAATAAGAAATAGATCATAAACTTTTTCGATTCTAAAGACAAATTATTTGATTCTTTTTTTCCTCTAAAGCAAAGGGTCAATTACGGTGAAATTTTTTGGGTCTTTTACCCTCAGAGAAAGGGAAATATTTTTGACAAATATACCTCGTGAAGGATATATCTGCAACAATGTAATTACAGGGTCCGATCCGCAATTGGGTGATAGTACAGGGGTCTATAAGTAATTAACCCTAAAGTAAAAGGAACTTACACGTCTGGACATATTGTCTCGTTTTTACTGCATGTCTCCCATTTCGTAACTTTCTCTGACCACTCTCCCTATTATCAAGATATTGAGAAAATGAATCATATCAATATGAACAGAGATTTTAATGCAAAAATATATAATTACAATACAGAAACATACAAGAGGTAGATATTCTCCTGTATCAATATTTCTTCACAATGATCAATTAAAACTCAACAACCCAAAAATAACCGTTTAAAATTCATCATACTGTGATATTCTTTTTTATTGTATCCGCGAATTCTTCCACCGAAGTGTTATAGAAATTTTCTTCTGCCGTTTGAATTATGCTATCATCCCATACCTGTAGGGTCCTCATCAGAAAAAAACATAAAATAATATATGAAGCACCCTACAATAATTGGTATAAAAATAAGATGAAATTTAATTAGGAGAATAATTCTAAACTTACATGGTGGAGGTTTGCCTTTCTTGTATACCAGTGTACTTCAATGGTGTTGCCCCCTTCATCTGAAGTGAAACCAACATGTAGAGGCTGCACATTTTGCATGTCTCATAAGTTCAGTAATAAGAAAAAATAAAGAGAAAATTTGCAAAATAGTCCGTTTTTGCTAATTATTTAGCAAAATAGACCGTTTTGCTAAATAATTAGCAAAGTAGACCTCTTTTGAAAAAAAGAGGTCGATTTTGAAAAACAAGACTCAGAAAACATACGGGACTACTAGTCCTGTATGTTTAGAGCCAACTTAATCACGGATTAGTGACTCAGAAAACATACGGGACTAGTAGTCCCTTATGTTTTCTGAGTTCATCTTAATGTTTTGTGAAAATTTCTGAGTTCACTAATCCGTAATTAAAACATACGAGACTACTAGTCCCGTATGTTTTCTGAGCTGTTTTGCAAAATAGATATGTTTTTGGCCTGTTGGCAAAAAAGATGTCTATTTTGCTAATTATTTATCAAAACGGTCTATTTTGCTAAATAATTAGCAAAACGGTCTATTTTGCTAAATAATGTTTTGTGATTCTTTACTGTTTTCTTTAAATAATTTGGAGATGTTTGATATATATACCTGGTGAATGTCACCCACAAAGTGAGCAAGGAAGAGGAGTGCTTCAGTGAGATTATCTGAAATATATAAATTTATTTGAACGTTTAATATTTTGTTGTTATTTCTCAAAAGAAGTTCATTATGTCGAGCGTGTATGTTTTTAGGTTAATTTCACAAAACACCCTGAACTTTGGGGGGTTTTGCAGTAGCTCGCTCCTTAAACTTTGGGGTGTCTTACAAAACATACTGAACTTTAAACTTTTCTCACCAAAACCCCACATGTAGTTTGTCAATGACTAAACGTCTTTGAGAGCAAAACAATTACAGGTGGGGTCCCATGAGAAAGTATACAGTTCATAGGGGCTTTATAAGATCGGCCCTCCATGTGTTCCGGAGTTATGTTAGATAAAAATTTAGAAGGTTATGTGCAAAACCCTCCAACGTTCAGGTGGACTTTGTGAATTAACCCTTTTTCTTACATTGGGATCCACTAGAAGAGTTCTTGTAAGTAAGAAGCTGGTCAGTGTAATTGGTGATTGCTCCTGATACACATCTCCCTGCCACTCCATTGTCATCCTTGCAGTCCCCTGCATATACATCAAAATGAAACCCTAGCAATCCTTAAAATCTCAAGAGATTATTATGAATTTCATCTTTCTATAAAAATATCATAAACCTTTTATCTACTTCAAGAAACTCAAGGGCCTTCATAAGACATTTATTCAATTTTTTTGCCAGAAAACCCCTGAAGTTTGTGTTGGGAATTTTACGCCGAAAACCCTAAAACAGCAGAAACACAGTATAGAGAAAAGTACACCAAGTTTAACGAGATTCGGTAACTGCCTACGTTCTCAGGGGCCACACAATTAATTTCTTATTAATCAATAAGAAATACAATGCAAGAGCAGATCTCAAACTAGATCTCTCGATACCCAACACTATAGCTACAATGTTAATGCTTTCTCTCAAATAATCCCTCTTTTAATTCTTCTCTTCTTTTCATTCATCTTCTTAAATTCCCCCCTCAAACTTCACCGATTGAGCGCTTGAGAAAAGAGGGCAGAAGAGAAAAAAAACTTTCTTCGGCCGGCTAGGGTTTAAGATATCGCGAGAGGAGAAGAGAGGGAAGAAGCGCGGGGGGGGAGGGGGGCTAGGGCTCTGGGTCTCTTTTTTATAAGGGACCCTAACGCCATGCTGGCGAGAGGCCTGTCGCGGCAACCGCATGCTTGCGCCCCCCCTAACCTCGCCTGCAGGCGCTTTACTCGAGCTCGCCTACAGAACACCTGGACCTCGCCTGATCCGCCTCTCGCCTGCCTCGAGCTCGCCTTGAGCGCTCGACGACCTCACCTGCAGCGTTCCGCCTGAAACTCATCGCCTGAAGCTTCGAGCTCGACCTCACCTGCACCATCTCAAGGTCGCTTGTGAGTCTATCTCGCCTGGATATCGTCAAGCTCGCCTACACCGCGCCTTCGATCTCTCCTGAGCTCGCCTGCGGAGGTTTGTGTCTACACCCGATACTAACAATCTCCCACTTGGAGGCCAAACCGCTATCAGCAGGCTATCTCAACAAGCACTTTCTCCTATGTGGCTCCGCCCTCAGCACCTATGCATGAAGGCCAACTGAAGTTGCGCACAACTCTAGTTTCTGAAAGGTCACTGTCTTTGTCAACATATCCGCTGGATTCTTTCTTCCTTGGATCTTCTGTTGAAATCTTTAACAACTTGTCGGGCTCTATATCTTCTGGAACCATCATGTTCCTTTTTCACTCGATACACCCACTGGTTGTGATGTACCTTCTTCCCCATGGGCAACTCAGCTAGTTCCCATGTCTGGTTGGAGATCAGAGATTTCATCTCTTCTTTCATAGCAAACTCATACTTGCTCGCATCTTCATTTTAACAAGCTTCATCAAAGCTTTTAGACTTTCCTCCATTTGTCAGCAACATATAATTCATGTATCTGCTGTTAGGCACAGGAGGATGAGTAATTCTCCTTAATATCAGAGCTGGTGTGTCGGGCTTCTGCACACCGTTCTGTCCAACAGGCTCTTCTGGCTGAGGACCTTCTGCATTGGGTTCTTCCGAGAGGTTATCTGGGACATCATCTTTATTTACAAATATTGACTCGCTCTCTAAGTCACTGACATCTGTCTTGTGCATGTCCTTATACACCACCTTCTCGTTGAAGGTCACATCTCTGCTCTAGATCACCTTCTTGTTTTTGTTATCCCAAATACGGTAGCCGAACTCATCTTCACCATCCCCGATGAATGTGCATTTCTTAGACTTGGGATCAGGCTCATTCCTGCCTTGATCACTAATATGCACATAAGCTACACAATCGAAAACTCTGAGATGTGAGAGTGTTACCTCCTTTTCGCACCATACCTACTCTGGTATTTTGTGCTCCAATGGAACCAATGGTTATCGGTTGATCAAGTTGTTGTGTTGACTACTTCTGCCCAGAACTGTTTTGGTAGACTTAACTGTATCTGAATGCTTCTAGCTCTCTCTGTTAGTGTTCTATTCATGTGCTCAGCCACACCATTGTTCTGAGGCGTACCGAGCATGGTTCTCTCCATTATGATCCCGTGCTCATAGCAGAACTTCTTGAATCTGATGTTTTCATACTCACCGCCATTGTCGGTCCTGGGCTTCTTTATTCTCAGATCGGTTTCATTCTCAACCATAGTTTTCCATCTTCTGAAAGCTTCAAATACTTCTGACTTATGCTTCAGAAAGTAGACACACACTTTTCGAGAGTGATCATCGATAAAAATCACAAAGTAGTATTTTCCACCAATGAATGCGGTGGTGGTTGGTCCCTTACATCTGAGTGAACGAGCGCTAGCTTCTCTTTCCTAGGGATTTTGCCACTTGTATGAAAGCTAACTTTCTTCTGCTTTTTAAGTATGCATTCTTCACACATATCAATCTCTACTGCTTGTAAACCTGGGAGTTTTCTCTTTGTGTGCATAATCTTTATCCCTTTTTTACTCATATGACCGAGTCTCTAGTGCCACAACCTTGAAGTCTTATTACTTGTTGCAACTGAGATCAAACAACGTGCACCTGCTATCATATACAGGGTACCAGTTTTCTTGCCTCTAGCAATCGTCATTGCGCCTTTTGAAATCCTCCAATCATCACCATGGAAAGTCATCGTGTAGCCTTCACTAGCCAACTAGCTTACTGAGATTAAGTTTCTTTTTAGATCGGGAATATACCTGACATCCTTCAGCTCCTATACTGACCCATTCAGCTTAATCTTCACTACACCTTTGCTAATAATGACACATAGTTGATCATTACCAAGGTATACATTTCTAAGATTTTCGGGGATATACTTCTCGAGGAATTCTTTCTGAGAAGTAGCATGGAATGATGCTCCAGAGTCCAACACCCAAGACTCCTCCTTGCTCTCCAAAGAGCATATCAATGCATCATCTCCTCCTGAGGTGGAAGCAACATTCATATCTGTCTTTGCCTCCCACTCCTTCTGTGCACTCTTACACTGATTCTTGTAATGCCCGTTTTTCTCGTACTTCCAACACTCGATAGCCTTTGAGCTGCTGGAATTCTTGGATTTGGACCTACTGTCCTCTGATTCATTTCCTCTGGTTGAATTTTTACCTCTTGACTCTGTATATAATATTGAAGAGGTTGTAGCTTCACCCGACTCTCTCCGTCAGATCTCCTCATTGAGAACCAAATCACAAACGTTGTCAAACTTCAAGTTGTTGCTTCTCAACGAGCTACTCACAGCTATGACTGTAGCATTCCAACTCTCTGGTAGGGAATACAAAAGGATCAACGCTCGAACTTTTTCATCAAACTCAATATCACCTGAACTCAATTGGGCCGTGACTGTATTGAGTTGATTGAGATGATGTGCTACCAATGCACCTTTCGTCATTCACAAATTGAACAACCGTCTTATCAAATGGACTTTATTTGAGGCTGATGGTTTCTCATACATATTTGAGAGTGATGTCATAAGACCCGTCGTGGTTTTCTCCTTTGCAATGTTAAAAGCAACATTGCGGGTTAACGTCAAACGATAACCCTGAGGGCCTTTCTGTCTAGAAGATTCCAATCTTCTTCCTTCATACCCTCTGGCTTTTTCCCTGAGAGAGGTTGATATAGATTTTTCTGATACATATAATCCTCTATCTGTATTTTCTAGAATCCGAAATCTGATCCATCAAGCTTCTCTAATCTCACTTTTCCTTCATCCACGGCCATCGCTCCCACTTGAATTTGACTTCCTCTAAATCGTTTTAGACTCTGATACCAGTTGTTGGGAATTTTATGTCGAAAACCCTAAAACAGCAGAAACACAGTATAAAAAAAAGTATACCAAGTTTAATGAGGTTCGGCAACTACCTACGTCCTCAGGAGCCACACAATTAATTTCTTATTAATCAACAAAAAATACAATGCAAGAGCAGATCTCAAACTAGATCTCTTAATACCCAACACTGTAGCTACAGTGTTAATCCTTTCTCTCAAATAACCCCTCTTTTAATTCTTCTCTTCTTTTTATTCCTCTTCTTAAATTCCCCCCCTCAAACTTTACTGATTGAGCGCTTGAGAAAAGAGGACAAAAGAAAAAAACTTCGTCGCCGCCGCTAGGGTTTGAGATCGCTAGAGGAGAAAGAGAGGGAAGAAGCGCTAGGGGGGCTAGCGCCTCTCGCCTGCCTCGAGCTCGCCTTGAGCGCTCGACGACCTCACCTGCAGCGTTCCGCCTGAAACTCCTCGCCTGCAGCTTCGAGCTCGACCTCGCCTGCACCATCTCAAGCTCTCCTGCGAGTCGATCTCGCTTGGATCTCGTCGAGCTCGCCTGCACCGCGCCTTCGACCTCGCCTGAGCTCGCCTGCGGAGGTTTGTGTCTACACCCGACACTACCGACACTAACGGTTTGGGCGTTTCTAACATAACCCCCCTTGACTTACAATACGTCACAAAACACTCTTCAAGTTTTCGGGTTCTCAGAAAACCCCCTTCAACTTTTAACACTTCTCAACAAAAAAAAAACAACTTGCACTGATTGCAATTTTCATATACATGGGCGGGTATAATTACGCACAGAATATTTTTATCAGTGAAAATTAAGAAGTAGAGTGATACTCACTTTGGTAATTATAATTGCAAAGATTATCTGGTGTATTAATGTAATGGAGAGGAGAGGACCATCTATAGCGGAACTTTACATGGTCAGCCCATGAGCAAAGGCTGCTGAGATTGTTGTTTGCATAACTCGGAAGAAGATCATTGACTGCGTCTGATGCTGCCGTGCTTAATCGATCCTAACAACAATATTAAAAAATTAAAAAACAACAGTAATCTACACTATATATTCATACTACTATATATTAAGAAAAGTCTTCTTTCTGGTCTTATTGTGAGCGACGTTTTTTGAAATCCGAAAATGCCTTTTGCATCTAAAAATTAAATTTTATATGCTCTCACATTTTAAGAAATCAACAAAAATGCTCTCACAGTTGACAAAATGAAAAGAAACATTCTTGCATTTGGAAAAAAAAATTACGGAAACGTCATGAAAATTGAAAAAATTAACAATCAACAAATATAAATTCAAAATCTTATCTATCCGTTTTCTTTGACAATTCGATTACCACGCTAATCTCACGTTTTGTGCCATGCGTGTATCGCATACACTGTAGTACCAGTTACCAACAAGGACTAAGTAAAGATAAAATTGACTACTAATGCTAGTATTATCAAAAAAAAAAAACAAATATTACCCCTAACAGACAATCAAAATTCTCTGAATCTGAGCAAATCTACTTGTTAAACACGAGTATCACTAGATTGCCCACTGCCATTTTTATGTTAGAGATTATAGACAAGCATGATAGAAAACTAAGTTAATGTCATTGAGGTGTCTTGCACATAACCCTTCTGAACTCTTTTTATCTCACATAACACATTGAATTTCGGGATATCTAACAAAACCCCATTGAACTTTAACTTATCCTCACCAGATGCCTAAACAATAACTAAAATGCCATTGAGTTTAAAAATAAAACTTAAAACTGTGGCATTTGTCGTTTACAGGCAACGCACTCCTATAAATTGTGGTTTTACGTCTCAAGGAAATTTTAGTTATTTGCAAATTATAGCTAGGTGTGCAGTGAAAAAAATTCAAAATTCACGAGTGTTTTGTGAGACAACCCAAAAAAAATAGTTCAGGTTTTCCTTGAAATTAATTAACCCAATAAAGAAAGGAAAACAGAGAAGACTTGCAAGTAGAGAAAATGAGTACTCACATACATAATCTAAAAAGGGATGCTATGATAAAAGAAAGGAATCAACCTGAGCTATTTTGCAAACGATATAATGCCCATCAACTCCCCATCCATGGATCAGAACTGGAAATGATAAAGCTATCAAGATGAAGAGGGCAGGCATCTGAAACCCACAAGTCATCTTTAGAGAAAGAGAGAGTTGAGGGAGGGAGAAAAAGAAAGAGAAAGTGTGAGAGAGACTGTTGAGAAGTACTGAAACAAACCAACCCTATGCGTATATCATTATTCACGCATTAATTTCTCAATTTATAAATGGAAACTCCCTGGCAATGATCACACCTTTTTGTTTTGATGGCTGAGAAAAAGGTAATTGCTTTCATATTTGTACACACCTATTTACTTTCTTGTCATTCTGTTTGATGATATAAAATAATTTCCAAAGAAAAAAAGCAAAGTATTTAGATTTTCTAAACTTTATCCTTTTATTCATATTTAGATTGATTATTAATTATGTTAAAACATAATTATCACCAGCCCGGTGAGCTGCATTCTTCATATTTTGTGAATGATATCATAATCATTAACTAAGCATAAATGCTTGCACTTGAAGAAATAGCCTTTCTGTTATATATGATGGCATGTTCTTTGGTGTTTATATCAGAAAAAATACTTTAAAAGCTTGTGATTTCTTTTGGCATTGTATCAATATTTATTACCTGCTACATTGTTGCCAGAGTGTACTAGAGGATATAGAAGTTTGAAGCTTTACTACTTGTATTTGATGAGTAAGAATGTTTTCATGAAAATAATATAATTAAGCACACGTACAATATCTGTGCTACTTTTCTTTGTTAATCTAAATTTGAACTTTTTGGTCAAATCGTTATTCTGTCATAACTTAATTCTCCATAAGCCCAGCAACATTCTAATTCTTGTGAGATACTGTTTTTGTATAAAAAGGAAGGATTGTTGTGTAAAAAAAGGTAAGTGAGGTGGCTGTGGTGCCTATTTGTAAACAAAATTTAAACATGGAAGGAACGTGACGAAACAATTAACGTATCCTCCCCGTCTTATGATGCGTTACGATCAGTTTTTGTCCCAAGACACTGGATTCTTTCACCTTACTTTACAGACCTCCCCCTTATAGAAAATAGGGTTAATTGCAGATAGACCCAGCATAACATCAACCAATCACAGATAGACCCCGTGTAGTTCTATTGGTGCTGATAGACCCCTTAGAATGAGGAAGTTGACAATTGGAAAATGAGAGTATTGTTGGATATTCTAAGGAAAGGACGTTGTTAGTGATGACAACTCAACAGAAACTCTAATTGCGGATCGCAAAAGAAAGGATGAAAACAAAGAGAATGCAATCGCAGAAATACAGGAATTTAACGAGTTTCAACAATTAACTTAATAACCTATATCCTCAGACTTTGGGGTACACTCGGTCCGGATACGGCTCGGATATGATGCTTACCATATCCATATCCGGTTACCCATCTCGGATACGGATACAGATACGGATCTACATCGATAAGGAAAATTCATAACTATATCTGCTAGAGTCGGATAGGGTTACAGATGTACATGCGGATATATGAGCGGATATGCATGCGGATACAAAACGGACATGAGAAAACTAGATAGTATGGAGAAAAACATAGTTCATGTGATACAAAAGAGTTCAATTAATATGTTTATTATAATTGAAAACTTAAGATTAGATATCTTGATCATCAAAATTAACCACAAATCCATAATCTAAGAATCGAAACTATCGTAAGAGTATGACTAATATGTATTCGGATATTTCGGATACGGATACGGATATTTCACTACAAAACCATACCCGTAATCATATCCTATCGGTTTTGTTTTTGTTTAGCCATATCCGTATCCTAACGGATACGGTTACAGATATTTTCTCGGATACGGATGCGGTTTATCACCCCTACTTGGGCTACAAATAGCACACAATTTCACTGATAATCAGCAAGAATTAAAAATATTCTCTCAACGTGCCATAATCTCACCATTTTGTCATCTCTTCTGTTTCTCTCTTTTGGACTTTAAAGGGAAAAAAACACTATGAATGAACATAAACATTAATAACATAAAGTTTCTGCCTGTAGGGCTGAAACTACAAAATATCCTACTGACGGGCCAACGAAATTAAGATTACTTGTACAAGACCTTTGAACGAGCCTATCTCAGTGATTTCCATTTCCGGATTTGTTATGTTCACAATTATATATGTTTAAGTCTAGTGTAGAGTAGTGTAGGAATAGTAACGATCAAATAGTTCATACCCAAGAATAGGGAGAGGACCATAGCCAGGTGAACATCCGACATTCTTGGGTACCATAATTTTGAAATCATGATCATAGTGTTCAAGAGACAGATCATAATTTTGAAATCATGATCATAGTGTTCAAGAGACAGATTGTATCTATATATGTTAAATAAATTACAATAAAGCTTACATCTTAAAGGAAAACAAACATGGCTAAAGGAAATCACATATAAGTTTACGAATCCTTGCTTATTTCAACATTGGAACCTCAAGATGGATCTCCATGAGATTCGTTTCTGAGCATTCCTTTACAATGACTCAAAAGGAAGCAAGTATTGAATAGTAAAGGAGTTTCTTGCAAGCCATCTCAAATCTAAAGAGATTTTTTAGAACTAGCTATTGACTTTTAGTTCGTTGATCTCCGTATCTCCCTCCCCCCCCCTAATTTTGGTACTGTTATCGATCTTCTATCCATATTGTTAAATTAATTAAGCCCAAAAGGATGTACCTTATGTGTCACTAGGAATATGCTCCTAATATGTGATGTGAACCCAAAGCCTTCAATTTTTATTTTTATTTTTAAATTTTTTTAATTATTTTTATTTTTAAAGGTCAAGGATTGATTTAGCTAACACCATGCTTGTGGGAGCAAGTTGATCTTTTTAAAAGGAGAATCTATGTGGAACAAGTAAGCATTGGTACTAATGTTAATACTCACCTTAAGAAAGTCAAATCTCTTAAAGCCTATTTTATTATACCAAATCTCATAAATTATTATGAGGAAGAAGAGATTATGTATGTCCTCATATGGTTAATGTTCTTAAAGTAAATTTAGATGCACCAAAATTCTAAAGTATAATGAGGATTGAAGCATCATAAGTTATATATTTAAACATGCCCCTTGAGTGTTGAATGCTCTTTGCATGGTTGAAATGTTGTTAGACCCTAGAGGGAGGGAGGGAGGGAGGGAGGGGGGGTGATTAGGGTCTTATGCTAATCTAATCCGATTAAATGCCAATTAAAATTAATTAATAAGTTATCCTAGCAAGTATGAAATACCACAAGATATATGAGCTAGGATAAGCAATGTAAACAATGAGATATATCTTATATGATGAATTATATATGCAAGGATATATAAACTAACACAAGATGATATATCCTATCAAAGAGATATACAATATGATATATGTATATGCAAGGATATAAAACTAACACAAGGGGTAAACAAAATGAACTAGATAGTGGATCACATAAATAATGAGCTATGGACAATGGCGATATAAGATATGAACATAAATATAAATGAACGCCAAAGCACACTCAAACACAATCAAATGATCACGGAGTTCGGACCTTCCGTCCTACGTCTCCGCTCCCCACTCCCGGGGAGAAATTCACTATCACAACCGGGTTTTCTACGCTCACCCGAATAACGTTTACAACCACACTATGTCGGTTTTCAACGATCACCAATCAACGTCCACTCCTCACACTCGGTTTTCTAGTTCACCAAAAACTTCACAACACACTCGGTTTTCTAGCTCACCGGAAACCTTACAATCTCACACTGTAACAAATATAAATTTGTTCTCTACAATAGATAAGAACTCAATGAAAGCACAACTCAAAGTTACAATCTCTCACCACCCAACTATACTATGTATGTAAATACTAAAAGCTCAATGTGGGTGTGTGTAACAATGAGTAAAATAAAATCTAACTCAAATAGCAAACTAGCAATAATAAGGATATGAAAATCAATAATGAAATTGCTAGAGAAAAGAGTTAGAAAACTTCTCTATGAACACAAGGAAGAGGATGAAGAGGATTGAGAATGAATCCCTCAATCTGCAGTGAAAACTTCCTCCTTTGTAAACAGAAACCCAAACTTAAACAAACAGTAAAAACCTTAAACCCTTGTTTTAAAACCTTGTTTAAAAACTTCTTGGCTTAGTAAAAAGAGATCAGCAATGGGGTATTTATACCCACTCAATATCTTAACAAAAACCCCAAGCAAAAGACAAAAACAGCCCCAGCAAACAGCTCAGGAAATAGCCTTTGGAAAAGCAACGGATCTATTGTCGGTCGACCGGAAATTTCGTCGGTCGACCGACAGAGAGCAAAAACACGAAGAAGCAATTCTGGACTATCGTCGGTCGACCGGTGCGGTCGACCGATGGAGCTCTCGGTCGACCGCATCGGTCGACCGACCAACTCTCTGTCGCCCGGTGATGAAAGATCAAATATGTCGATCGTGGCGGTCGCCGCACAAACAGATATGACAGAAAATAGTTTTTGACAGCTGATTTTGACGACTTAAAAATATTTAAAAAATAACAAATGAAGTCGCAAAAATAATAAACTTTGGGAAATGATAATAAACATGAAGAACAAACATGTTATCAAAAAGAAATTTTCCAATTGCATTTCCCATTTGTGAAAAATCATCATTTTATCATAAATAGTCGCAAAACACGACAAATGAAAACATGTAATTTTGATATTTTTTTTGGCCTAAACCATTGTTTTGAACCTGTTGCACCCAGATGATTATATAGACTTTTATTATATGATTATGGTTAATGTCCAAAAACAAGATATAAATTTCATACAATTGTTGGCATATCTATCAATAAATAGCCAAACCAGTAGTAACTAGAAACTGTGATTTCATATTTATAACATGAAAATTCCAAAACTATGTATGTTATATAGTATAAAAACTATATATGTGTATAGAAACCAAAACGTTTTTGAAGCATTGGATTTGTTTATCTAAGCTCGTTTGTATGCAACCGGGTTTGAAACTTGTGTATATTATAATATATATATATATATTAACTAATATATATATACGAAGAAACCAATAAATGTGTGTGTATAGATATTGAGCTTAGAGTATATAACACACATAATATAAAATCTAAAACTACATTACCCAAGCAATCTTGATCTTCAATTAAGC